ATCCTTGTTTTATTCTATACTCCAGTTGATAACTAAAGATAAAGCTTATTGCAAAAATATATAGGGTCATATGTTCTGTCAAAACCTTATTATTTAAAAAATTTCAATACTGGCTAGATGAACTTCACCAATTTTAAAAATATAACGTTTGCGTTTTTTAATTTTCAATTTTCAAATATGGAGTGGTCGAAGAAAGAAGATAGAGTAGCGGTTATCGCGTTGCACCGCTGTGGTTACGCGTCAAAAGAGATTTTCAATATTCTACAAAAATTAAAAATAACCCTACGATTTGTTTATCGCACTATCAAACGATTCATTGAAGATACAATCATCGAAGATCGTAAGAGGACCGGCCGACCTCGTACAGTTAGGACACCCGTGATCATCAAAGCAGTGAAAGCGCGAATCCAACGAAATCCTGTTCGTAAACAAAAAACCTTTGCTCTTCAGATGGGCCTAAGCAGAACCACGGCCAAAAGAGTGATCAATGAAGACCTAGGGCTACGAACTTATCGTAAGAAGACCAGACATGCTTTGAACGAGCGTTTGAAAAAAATTAGGCTGAATAGATCCAACGCTTTGTTAAGGCGATACGCGGGAAAAAAATGCCGCGAAATTTTGTTTTCGGATGAAAAAAATTTTAAATTCGAAGAAACTTATAATAAACAAAATGATAAGGTGTATGCCCACAGCAGTGAAGAAGACAGCACGCGTATTCCGAGGGTTCAACGAGGACATTATCCTTCGTCATTTATGGTTTGGTTTGGAGTCTCATATTCAGGCTTAACTGAAGTGTTTTTCTGTGAAAAAGGTGTAAAAACCAGTGCCGAGGTGTACCAAAATACCGTCCTTACAAACATAGTGGAATCTCTTTCTCAAACAATTTTCAAATAAAGACATTGGATATTCCAACAAGACTGCACCAGCTCATAGGGCACGAAGCACGCAAAACTGGTTGACCGCCCGTGGAATTGACTTTATCAGATATGAAGACTAGCCCTCTTCTAGTCCAGATTTAAGCCCACTGGATTACAAGATATGGCAACATATGGAGGAGAAAGTCTGTGCTAAACCTCATCAGAATTTGTAATCTCTCCGAGCATCTTTGGCTAAAGCAGCGCCAGAAATAGATAAGAATGTGGTGCGTGCTGCGATATGATGATTGGCCGCGTCGATTAAGGGCATGTATTCAACATAGCGGAGGGCATTTTGAATAATGTAAATAAAATTGTATTCTAAATTAAGTTAACTTTCAGTTCATATATAATTTTTATATAATTATCAAAAAGTCTATCATTAATTTTATAAAAAGTTTTTGACAGAACCTAAGTAATTATTAAATTCGTCCCTCAGCTTACAATACCGCTCAAGTCGAAAATTGGCGCTTTTCACATTTGAATGCCTTTAGATGGAGCTGCTCATTGCGCGTCTAACCATTGACCATATGATATAGATTTCAGCCAATTAGAAAACGTAATTCGAAAAGTAGTGACAGCGCGCAAGTCGCTTGGCCTCTCAACACGGCACAAGTCGTTAATCTGTCATACTTTCCTTAGTTAAGTACTTCGCGCTCCGTGATTATTATATTTTTATGTGAGTTTTGTCGCTGAGAGGTCTATGTGAGAAGTTTTAATAGAAGATTAAGAGATAAGCTATATATTAATGTGTATTGATTTACGCGTATTAATATAGAAAGAAACGATAAGAGAAAATCTTCATTTACTTAAGCGGTGTTTAAGAACTTTCTTTTTTAACTTAGGTGGTGTTTCAAAATGTATTTTATTTCTTTTAGGAAGCTCAATAATTGAAATACACTGTGGATGGAGAAGAAATTGATTCCTGGAGTGATTCGAGTTTAGGTGATGAATTGTTACGTGCACAATTACGAGAAGCAGGATTGATGTCTAAATATAAGTGGCGTAAACATAGTTGCAAAGAAGATAGAAAAAGAATTAAACTAGGATAGTAGCTTAGGTTTGTTTTGAGGTCCGCATTTATTTTTCTGTCATTTATATTTTTAATGCAATAAGTCCTATTATTTTTTTAGATTTGAATCAAAAAGGTAACACCAGTTCTTCTGATATCAAAGCATGCAATTCTTCTAATAAATACAAAATTGTTGCAACACCAATAAACGAACAAAACTTCGGAGAGTCCATGAAAAGTATTATAAGTAGCCGGGACAATGTAAAAAAAATATTTGATCACAACATAGACTTGGATATTGAAAACACTGATATTAACAATCTACAAGTTATAGAAATAGTTGGTAATGACTTCTTTGATCTACAACAGGAACCATCCGAATACGATACGGTGGCCATCGAGTATCCTCAACCTTCTGTATTGAATGTTGCCAATATCACGGTAGAAAATGAGAACGTTGTGCAAGAACTAGAAAATATTGTCGCTAATATAAATTCTATAAAATTAAATCATTACGGGTTCCCTACTTCAAACCAAGATATTCTCGTATCTACGAATACTCAAGACCCAATTTCTGATATAGAAATGACAATGAAAACAATACTAAATGTACGGATAAAAATAATATTACCCAGAACAATATGCAGCAATCTAGTGCCTCTGCTACTCAATCGTGTTCTTCAAAAGTGGTCATACTCAGTAATGTTCCATATCACGGTGATTTGTTAAGTCTTAAAAAACGATAGAACAAGGCGACAAAAGATCCAATGAAATATAAACGCAATGTTAATAAAGAATTACGGATGAAAGGTGAAAATTATTTAGCATACAGAAGAGACAGAAAGAGAAGAAGACTAATGAAAAATTAAAATTAAAGTAAAACATGGCGTATTTAAGCCTGCAAGATCCATGAAACCACCGTGTAAAATTTAAATATTTTTTTAAATACTTTAATAAAAGTCACATGACATATCTCGCACAAGTTTTTATTAATGGGTCGGGAAAAATGTTCCTTCGTATTTTGTTTGTATAACATTGAAGAAAAATCTCTTTGAGTGTATTGTTTGCATCTCACTGGTTTTAATATTTAACATATAGGACATTAAGAACTTTACCAAAAAGTAAAAAACACTTTCCAAGTATTTTTCAACTGATTTTCTGTCCGCTAAAATGAATGGATCTAACGAAGGAATTCTATGCATTCTGAAGTTTTAATACAAAAAATGGAAAAATGCGATTAAAGCCGCAAAAAATATTTGTGATGTTTATGGAGCTAATGCAGTATCAGTAAGAGTAGCACAAAGTTGGTTCAAGCGTTTTCAGTGCGGGAATTTTGATGTCAAATGCAGCTTGCTTTGGTCACCCTCATATAGAGAAAAACGTTGCCATTCTTGAAAAACTGAAGCAAGATCAGCATATAAGTAGTTACGACATAGCCAAGGAAATGAGGATTGACCACAAAACAGTTTTGACCCATTTGAAAAAGCTTGATATTTGGGTACCACACGAGCTCAATGAAAGAAACTTAATGAATCGTGTACTCATTTGCGATTCTCTATTGAAACGTAATGAAACCGAACCATTTTTGAAAAGATTAATCATTGGTGATGAAAACTGGACCACCTGCAAGAACGTAGAAAAAAGATCATGGTCAAAGGTAGTCAAGCTCCACAGATTGTAGCGAAACCCGGATTAACACGCAATAAGGCGATGCTCTCTTTATGGTGGGATTGGAAATGCATCGTTTATTATGTATTTTTACCGCCCGGCAAAACCATCAATTCGGATCTCTGCTGCCAACAACTAATGAGACTCAAGCAAGAAATTGAGAAAAAACGGCCGTAATTGATTAACAGAAAATAAATGGTCTTTCATTATGATAACGCCAGGACACACACATCTTTAGCACCTCAGCAAAAATTGAGAGAGCTTGGTTGGAAAGTGTTAATGCACATCCACCATATAGTCCGGACTTTGCAGCCTCAAATTTTCACCTGTTTCGGTCTCTTCAGAATTCTTTGGGTGGTGTTAACTTAACATCAAGAGAGGACCGTCAAAACTACTTGTCGCATTTTTTGATCAAAAATCCTAATATTTCTATAACAACCGGATTATGTCACTACCTACAAGATGGCAACAAGTTATTGAACAAAATGGCACATATATATTATAATTAAATTTAATTAAACTTTGAAAAAAATGTCTTGAATTTGTATATTATAAATTAAGAAGAAACGTTTTCTCTGACCTAATATATCACTATAAATACCTACTAACAATAATAATTTCTTATATTTACACGAACTAGTTTTACGGATTTTATCGCGGATATTAACTTATTTTATATTCCCGACGTTTCGAGTACTTTACAGCACCCATGGTCATGGGGAGACTGAGGTGTTTGACGTCCCAATGTAATAGTTAACTACGGCTACCTCCAGATTAAAGCATGATCCACACCATCTGATCCTATCCAATCCGATCCTAATTATCGGATGAAATCGGATAATGTATTGTGCAACAGGTCCTAATTTTATTATTATTATTACAAAATCGGAGAATCGGATGTTCCGATCGTCCTTTTTCTAAAATCGGATCCTAACTCGGACGGTGTATAGAACCATTCGTCCGATAAAACGTCACACTTACACACGACCAGCGTCCCAGTTCAGACGTGTACCTACTCGCGCGCATTGATATGTCATCGGACGGGGAAAGCGATTCGGTGTCAGACCGCGAATATTTTGTTTTATTTTTGGAGTGTTACAAAGAATGTAGATGCTTATGGGACACTTCGGCAGCAGATTACTCAAATAGAGACTTGAGAACTAATTCCTATGAAAGACTTTTAAAAGTTTTCAAACAAGTTTGTAAAAATGCAACATTAGCTGATATGAAAAAAAAATTGATAATTTAAGAACAACGTACAAACGTGAATCAAAAAAGGTGAGTATTTTTTTCAAACTGGCGAGGCTAATGTTTAGGTACTCTTCATGCGTAATGTCTACTAAAAATGAAAAATACAAAGTCCGGTACTCACGTCATTAAATTATTTGTTTTAGGTTAGAGATTCCATGAAAACTGGCTCGGGAATTCAAGATATTTACTGTCCAAAGCTTTGGTACTACGAATATCTTACATTTCTTGATGAAAAAGATCTTTCACAAAGAATTGGTCAGGATAGCTTGGATGATGGTGCTGGCAGTAGTGGAAGTGTAAGTTCGTTTTGAAAATAACACACAGTTTTTTTTTTAGAAAATTATTATTTTTTATTGGGGTACAACCGACAACATTTGCTCTTGAAATGAAACTACGCCTTCATTATTAAAATAACTTGTAAATAATTGTCGTACTTCAGTTCCTTGCTCATTGCGCTGATTTTTAAGTGGACGAAGAGATACTAAAGGATGTGTTTCACGCCATTCTACGTTTCTTACGGTTGTCTTTTTACGCCATTGTGCTACTTTAAATGACGCTTCGGATTAATTTTCAATATCGAGAGATGTTATATTAATGTATTTTTTATTATTTCTTGATAAATAATTATGTAATGCACAACTAGCTAAGACAATTGTGTTCACGTTATCTATATCTATGGAAATAGCACGACGAAATATTCTAAATCTAGAGGATAGAATTCCGAATTCATTTTCCACCACCCTTCTAGCTCTTGAGAGCCTGTAATTAAATATTCGCTTATCGTGAGCTATGTTCTTTAGAGGAAAAGGTTTCATAATGTTTTTATCAAGCGCGAATGCACTGTCTCCTACAAAAACGTAAGGTGCAGTGATTTTTGAATTTGTTAACGTTGACGGACTTGGTAAATTTAACCCATCTTCCATCAACTTCTCATGGAATTTAGTCTTTTGCAGCACGGAACTATCTGAAACACATCCGTTTGTACCCACGTGAATGTATATAAATTCATAATTAGCGTTTACTACTGCTAACAGAATAACACTAAAAAATTTCTTATAATTATAAAAAAGTGATCCACTGTCTGGCGGCTTTTTAATTGCAATATGTTTTCCGTCGATTGCACCTACGCAATGATTGAAATTCCATTTGCTTTCAAAATCCGAGCTCACTTCTATCCATTCCTATGTCGTCGATGGCATCTGAAATTAATTTCATTTTATTTTATTCGCAGATTACTGGAAATGAAACACAAAACGATGGTTTCGCAGTTCCACCCACTAAAATAAAGAAAAAAAAACAGAACCTCTATACGAAGCAGTCTCAAATTCTAGATCAGGCTCAAAAAATATTAACAGGTAGTGAAAATAATGACTGGGAAGTAATCGGGAAATCAATTGGACTTCAACTCAAAGTTCTAACTGAAGAACAATCAGCCATTGCGCAAAAAATAATATCAGATGCTCTCTTCTATGCCAAAATGAAAAAACTAACAATAAATTCTCAAATAACTTTGGAACCTACATATCTACCCTCTCCATCTCCACAACCGCACTTACCGCACAAGTCACCATCCCATCAGTACACAATCACTCCATCACCTTCTCCATCTCCACAACCGCACCAGTCATCATCCCATTGGTACACAATCATTCCATCATCCTCTCATTCTTCACAGGCGCACCATCCATCTTCCACAATGCAATCATACACTTCTTCATATCAAACATCGACATTTACTAGTAGTGATTCAGACCATATTTCTTCAAATTCATTGCCATTGTGTAATGCAACAGAAACAGTTATTAACGAAGAATGTACATATTCTTTGGAACCTCCAGTAATTAGCATTCCATCACCGCCCCATTCCTCAACATCTAATTATATGCAGGGAGCTTTAAAAGACTTTATTATTTTTACTAAAAAATAAGTACTACAATCATTCTAAGCACAATGAATATCGGTAGGTAATAATTATGATTAATAAAAAAGTAACAATAATAAATAAATACAAATAATTACGTAAAAGGAAATTTCATTTCATACCTTTATGTAGTCCTTTAAGCATTTATATATTGCTATACAGGTTTCTGGTATTATTTGTGAGAGTAACTGAGGAGATATAGCTGTATTGAACATCAAGTCAGTATAGCTACAACCAGAAGAAAGGAATCTCAAAGTCGCTATTAATCTTTCTTCAGCACTTACTGCTTCTCACAGAATAGTATTTTGCTTTTGGATAAATGGGCGTACCATACTCAGTAATTGAGAAAAACACTCTTCGTTCATCCTTAAATACGTCCGAAAATGTTTAGACCTTAAAACCTTAATCATTGTTAGAGGTGTAAACCTTTTTCTCTGTTTGTAAATTTCTTCAGCCCATAAGTTTCTCTTTTTCCTCCTTTTTCGTGTATCCACGACGGTACTTGATATTGCTACTCCTATCACAATCTTTTGTATTTTAGACAACGTAGGAGCCATGTGAATCACGTCTGCACAGAGTAACCGCTAAAAGCCGATCTGATTTTAAGGAAGCACATCGGAAAGTGTGTAGAGAATGACTCCGATTTAGGATTTCCGATAAATAGGATAGGATCAGAAGGTGTGGATCATGCTTAAAAATTATTTATTTTGTTCCGATCTACGCAGTATGAACTTAGTGACGGGGGCGATCATGCCGACCCAACCATTACGTTAGCTTTGATATGACCACAAATCCTCGCTAAAGAACACCGATTCCTTCCAAGGATGATTCGCGAGGCTATTGAAATCAAAAAAAAAACCTAATTTCAATAGAGAAGATGGCTGACTGCTACCATTTGCTTGGGGTCCTATAATTAATAAAATTAAATCCCAACCCAAGCATTCAATTGCAAGACTTCTAGACACTGTAAGTTCATACTGCGTAGATCGGAACAAAATTAATAATTTTTAATCTGGAGGTAACCGTGGTTAACTATGACATTGGGAGCGTCAAACACCTCAGTCCCCACCCCCCACCCGTGACCATGGGTGCTGTAAAGTACCATAAAAAAGGGTGAATAGGGATTCAGGTGTAAATAGGGACAAACGCAAGTTTTTTTTCTACTCACTGATATTCCAGCCTACAGCCACATTATCAAATGACGATGATGTTTTTTTTTTAAATTGAGGATAATTTTTTCTTTATTCTGGCAAAATTTTGTATCTAAAATAAGACAGAAAAAACGTTTGTTAAAGTGAACACTATTGAAGCGCCAAAATCTTGTTCCGTAAACACTTCAATTATAAGATAATAAATACCAATTTCGAGTGATGCTGATGGATTAATTTTATCGTGTTATTGTTCAACGACCCAAAAAACTATAAAGGTTAGTTAAACACATTACAACAAACATTTACGATAGAAACGGTAATTTTTTAAAGGACCTGCATTTATTGATAATTTTGGGGTGACTAGGTACGTGTGAGGATAGAGACAATTAATGGGGTGATTCGGGACGGGAAAGGGGTAATTTGGAACGGATTAGAGGTGATTCAGGACGAGTGAGGGGTGAATAGGTTCTATTTAATAGGGCTGTCAAAAATTACTTTGGTCTCTTATTCGGTTATTTAAGGAAAAATGATTTATATGCTATAGCATAAAAATCATAGGAGTATTTTATTGCATATAAATATTCAACCCTGAAACGGTGTAATAATAATAAAAACGACAATATTGCTTTACGAAACAGCAATAGAAAGACACAGATATGTAAATAACTAATACTAAAATTAAGTACCTAAGCGATAATTAACGGTAATGTACATGCTCAATATGTCATGATCTGATAAAATGACGAAGTTTAAAAATATTTTGTGCTCATCATATAATACAAATAATTTTCATTGTTTACAGAACCAGGGTGTAAGAAGTACAAAATGTATGATGAGCAAATAATTAAAAAAGCTCTCGAAGAATTGAATTCTAATCACGTGTCTATAAAATCTGTGGCCGACAAGTATTGTATATCAAAATCAACCTTTCATCGCTATACCAATAAAAATATAAACCGCCCTGGTGGCCAAACAGCGCTAATACCAGATATAGATCTATCTATTAGTAGAAAACTTAAATACGTGTGCACAGTGGGTATATCCCCTAGATAGATATTTAGTCAAAATGTCTAGGGATTACTATCCCTTGTGTCTAGATAAAAAAAGTCTAGTGAAAAAGTTCAAAAATAATTTACCTGGAATAGACTACACAAACGGTTTTCTAAATCGTCACAAAAATAAAATTTTCCAAGAGACTATGCCAAAACATTAAGAGATCTAGGGCTGCAGTTTCAACGGAATCAATAGAGACATACTTCTGTGAGTTAGATAAATCTTTAGAAAATGTTCCAGCCACAAATATTATTAATTATGATAAGACGGATCTCTTTGAGGATCCTGGCTGAAAAAAGTAATCGTAAAACGAAGTTGTAAATACCCGGAAAGGATACTAAGCCCTTCAAAAGGCTCAACATCTTTGATGATGGCTTGTACAGGCTCAGGAGAACTATTGCCACCGTATATAGTTATAAGGCTTCACATCTTTATAACACATGGGTCGAGAATAGCCCAGAGGGTGCAAGGTACAATCGGTCTAAATCCGGATGGTTTGACGGTGACATTTTCAAAGATTGGATCGAAACGACAGTCATCTTTTTTTGAAAACAAAGAAGGAAAACAATTCTCATCGGAGACAACTTTTCTTCTCATCTTTCCTTAGACCTGATAAAATTGTGCAAGGAAAAGAAGATACATTTTGTCTTTATACCGGCCAATTCTACCCACATAACCCAACCGTTAGACATAGTATTTTTTAGGCCGATGAAATTAGCTTGGCGACAACTACTAGACAAGTGGAAGAACACTGACGGCAGAATGTTAACATCAGTGCCTAAAGGTTGTTTCCCGCGTCTGTTAAAACTTTTGATGGACCAATTAAAACCAAATTCGGTAAAAAACTTCAAAGCTGGGTTCTGTAAAGCAGGAATCATTCCGTTAAATGCAAATGAAGTCTTGTTAAGATTACCCCAACTAAATCAAGAAACAGATGCAAATAAAGATACAGTTGATGAATCTTTCCTGAAAATCTTAAAAGAAATACGTTTCGGTACAATGAAAATTAGGGAACCAAAATATAAGAAAAAGTTAGAGGTAGTTTCATAACGAAGTGTAAGTGGAAATGATGCCTGAAGAAGAAATACCTTCAAAAATCAGAAAATTTGATGGTCATAAAGGAAAAGGAAAAAAGAGTAAAAAAACGAGAAAGCCCAAATAAAATTTATGTAAGTACACCAGAATTTTTCTGAATGTCTCCTGTCAAAATGTTCCATCCAAGGAAATCATTCCACTATGACACGTAGACAGAATTTAGATTATAATAGAGATTTAAGTTGTTATTTAGAGTGAGATATAATTACCGAGGAATCAAAAATGGCCTATGACCCTGACACAATTTTCAGTTTTACGTCCAGTGCCAGAGTTCGACGGTAACCCTAATGTACTTACTAGATTTATAAAATTATTTGACCAAATATGTGCTGCACACCTGAGTGATGATCCTGGCAATGAATTATCGAACTTATGACTGCTTAACGGGATATTAAACAAAATAACTGGACCCGACACAACCACTTTAAATACAAATGGTATTCCTGAAAGCTGGCATGGCATCCGAAAAATTATTGATAAAGAATAAAGCTTTCTTTATCAATAATTTTTCGGATCAACGAGACGAAACGGCGCTCTACAATGACCTCTCGTTAGCTAGTCAGGGAAACAGCTCTACCCAAGAATTTTATGCACGATGTCAGACACTGTTGAGCACTATCATAACTATGTACTAGCTGGCCAGGCAGACGTTATTCTGCCCTCTCCGACGACCCTGTGTCCTATAAAAATTCTGAAATTCGTAATAAAAAGTATTGAGGGTCACTTATAGGGATAAAACTATCCTATCTCTCAAGTTGGACCAAACTGCACACAGTGTCCATTGTATTATTACGTTTACGCACCAACCACCTAAATGTCGAAGAACACGCTAATTTAGAAAGATTATGTGCCAAATACGCTGACGTTTTTATATAGAAGGCGAGCAACTAACATTTACTAATATAGAATAAAGCACAACATCCGGACCACTGATGCGATACCGATATCATATACCAATAATTTAAAATTTAATAATTTTGTACAGCAGACTTCAATATAAGTTATTTAAGAATAACTCAAAAACTATGGGTCTGACCTTGATCAAATTCATATGGGACCACACGAGAAGTATCAGATTTCATATAAAAAAAGAATCATCGAAATTGGTTCATCCAGTACAAAGTTAATAATAATAATATTTTATTGGTAAAAGTACATGTTTTATAGAGTGTGTGGGCCTTATCCATTTAAGTTTTAAATAAACTTGTCCTAGGATAAACCGCTCTTCAAGTTTGTAATAATTCATACATGTTTATTAACAGTTTTTTTTAATTCCTATAACTCGGCAACGGAGTAACATCCAAAAAGTAAATTATACTAAATCATCTGTAATCTAAAAAAAAAAACAAAAAAAAGCTTATCTAATATAAATTCGGTTATCAAGATGTCATAACGAATTTTCAGTCTTAAGGTAATCCAATTGCTTCAGCCAAGCAATTAACGTTCTTTTGCATTCTAGAAATGACATGTTAGAAATGTGTAGTACACTATTTATTTTGTTATATAAAATTATTGATTTTGAGCAGTATTGATTTTGCGCAAAAATGGTTTTTGATATTTTTTTGCGAATAACACAGTATGGATTTAGCATAGCATTGATTTTAACATCAGGATATGATTTATGATTTTTTAGAACACACAGTAAGATATAAAGCTGTCTAACGGTAAGAACATTACAATCATCATATACTTTCACGGTGCTGTATG